TGTCACTGTGGGTGTGTTGCTGACACTGGAAGTGGACAAGCTGGTGAGCTCACCAGGAGGGGATGTCTCTGCAGAAAGGGTCAATGGCAGAGTGTTTCCATTCAGGGAGGTTGATAGGGTTGATGTGGTCCCCTCTGGGGAGGGCCTGGGATGAGGAGATGCAGATGTTTCCTGGGTGGAGGAGCTGGGTGTAGAAACAGTTGATGGTTCTGGTCCTGTTGTCCCAGAAACCCCTGAAGTGGCTGTTACACGACTTGCAGTTCCAGTCTGTGATGTGGCTCCTGTGTTTTCTGCAGTGGAGTCTGTGGATGCTGTCATGGTGGGCACCTCTGTTGTCACTGTGGGTGTGTTGCTGACACTGGAAGAGGACAAGCTGGTGGACTCACCAGGAAGGGATGTCTCTTCAGAAAGGGTCACTGGCAGAGTGTTTCCTTTCAGGGAGGTTGAAAGTTTTGATGTGGTCCCCTCTGGGGAGGGGCTGGGAGGAGGAGATGCAGATGTTTCCTGGGTGGAGGAGCTGGGTGTTGGAACAGTTGATGGTTCTGGTCCTGTTGTCCCGGAAACCCCTGAGGTGGCTGTTGGAAGACTTGCAGTTCCAGGCTGTGATGTGGTCCCTGTGTTTTCTGCAGTGGAGTCTATGGATGCTGTTGTGGTGGACACCTCTGTTGTCACTGTGGTTGTGTTGCTGACACTGGAAGTGGACAAGCTGGTGAACTCACCAGGAGGGGATGTCTCTGCAGAAAGGGTCACTGGCAGAGTGTTTCCATTCAGGGAGGTTGAAAGTTTTGATGTGGTCCCCTCTGGGGAGGGGCTGGGAGGAGGAGATGCAGATGTTTCCTGGGTGGAGGAGCTGGGTGTAGAAACAGTTGATGGTTCTGGTCCTGTTGTCCCAGAAACCCCTGAGGTGGCTGTTACATGACTTGCAGTTCCAGTCTGTGATGTGGCTCCTGTGTTTTCTGCAGTGGAGTCTGTGGATGCTGTCATGGTGGGCACCTCTCTTGTCATTGTGGGTGTGTTGCTGACACTGGAAGAGGACAAGCTGGTGGACTCACCAGGAAGGGATGTCCCTGCAGAAAGGGTCACTGGCAGAGTGTTTCCATTCAGGGAGGTTGAAAGTTTTGATGTGGTCCCCTCTTGGGAGGGGCTGGGTGGAGGAGATGAAGTTGTTTCCTGGGTGGAGGAGCTGGGTGTTGGAACAGTTGATGGTTCTGGTCCTGTTGTCCTGGAAACCCCTGAGGTGGCTGTTGGAAGACTTGCAGTTCCAGGCTGTGATGTGGTCCCTGTGTTTTCTGCAGTAGAATCTGTGGATGCTGTTGTGGTGGGCACCTCTCTTGTCACTGTGGGTGTGTTGCTGACACTGGAAGAGGACAAGCTGGTGGCTTCCCCCTGAGGGGATGTCTCTGCAGAAAGGGTCACTGGCAGAGTGTTTCCACTCAGGGAGGTTGATAAGGTTGATGTGGTCCCCTCTGGGGAGAGGCTGGTTGGAGGAGATACAGATGTTTCCTTGGTGGGGGAGCTGGGTGTTGGAACAGTTGATGTTTCTGGTTTTGTCGTGGAAACCTCTGAGGTGGCTGTTGGAAGACTTGTAGTTCCAAGCTGTGATGTGGTCCCTAAGCTTTTTGCTGTAGAGTCTGTGGATGTTGTTGTGGTGGACACCTCTGTTGTCGTTGTGGACGGGGTTTTACTACTTGTATTATATGAAGTCGATCCTACTGTTGAAAGAGTTTAAGGAAGGGAGTCATTGATGTGTCATATAAGTTACAAGGACTTTTTCAGGCTGGAGTGAGTGTTTAGCTCACTAAAATCAAAATTTTTGACCCAATTTTTTTCATTCCATTTTAATTTCCTCTGGAATGTTTATCCCAAGGCTCTAGTCTTTAAGGAGTGCTAGGGATTCTACCACAGGCGCCCATCCCTACCTTTAAAGCAAAGACAACAAAGGACATGCAGCCACCTTTTCCCTTTGTAGTAGGCAAATATGCTAATGCAATGGTTATCCCATAGGCATAATTGATCAAGTACACCTCTTATCTTCCCCATGTGAAGTTTGAAAACTCAGGTCCCTGTGCTTCAGTCAAATATTCTTTAGTTAAAGTACACACACAGATCATGCAGTTAAAATAATTAAAGTTTCCCTATGTCCTATACACTGCCACGGTGATGAGTGGTAGTCTTCTTCTCTTTTATGGCCCCTTCTTCTTCTCCTTAATCTAGTACTGACTCCTATCAGTTTTCCTGTTCTACTCATCTTCTAATCTGTTGGCGTAAATACTACCCAGTGCCTAGGAACCCTTGCAGCGAGATAAGAAGGTCTCTAAAGAATGTGGTAAGGAGGGAAATGGAGAGGGGAGCTGGCCACCCTCCTTATTTTCAGTTCCTGGGAGAGGATCTAAATAGAACGATCTTGGTTCTAAAGTAAAGGAATGTACTCATAAAACGTCAGAAGAAACCCACCTGCCCAGTGGGAATGTACCTCATCCTGTATAATCCCCTGCTTGTAGGCATGGACAGCCCTCCATGGTGTCCCCTCCTGATGCCAAGAAGTGAGGGAGTGACACAATGTCCAAAACCTCTCTGTGGAGTCCAAGTTCTTCCTTTGGTCTCAATAAACAGTACACTGGGGCATTTTAGCCCTGGGGTTAAACACAATCCATCCCCTCAAATCTCTCACCCCAGCAAGAGCTCCATGATCCTCTTTTCCTCTCTTCTTTCTCAATTACCCACCTGAAAATCCCAAGGACCTTGCCAGCCCAACAGGACCTTCTTTAGAAAGAAGAGGCAGAAAAAATGCTGTGAATGTGCGCCACAGTCTGGCTGGGCAAAGTAACAGGGGGTGGGGTGAGTGACAAGCAACTTGTGAAGGTTGATACAGCGGGAGCCGCCTCTCTGCTGGACTGCAGAGGTACATATACCCAGCTAATTACACACAGCTTAACTCAATTAACATAAACTAGATACAGCAGTCAGTCATTAAGGAATCTCCACACTTAATGGCTCGCTGGTGTTACTTCACAAACCACTCCCTCTGGCAAAATGCCAGGTGCCATCTTGACTTGTTTACAGACCCTAACAAATGTGCACAGTTGTGAGCCATATAAGGACATTTCAGTAGACCACCTCGAACTGTGGTCCCATGAGGTTGTGACTCCTAGTGATGCTGTAGCCCTCTTTGTTCGAGAGTACTCTGTGGTAAACACATCACAATGATGTGATGACCTAGCAATGCATTTCTCAGAATGTGTCCTCACCATGAGGAGACGCATGACTGTGAACACCCTCCCTGCTTAAACTCCTCTGCTAGAGCACCTGGTTACACAGCTTCATTTATCTGGTATAAAGTGATCGAGAGAGTGTACAATAATACAGGAGAATTTAGGAGGACTCAAGCCAA